CTGGGTATTAATCTCTTGTAAAACAAGTTGTTTGCAAGTATTTTCTCCTATTCCACAGGTTATCCCTTCACTCTGTTGATTTTTGCTTTTGCTGTGCCAAACCATCTGAGTTTGATTCAGTCCCACTTGTCTAAATTTATTTTTGGTGCAGTGCATTTGGACTCTTTCTCGCCCTCCCCCCCCCCCCACAAAACTTTGCCTGTACCAATGTCTTAAAGTATTTTCCCTAGATTTTCTTCTAATAGCTTCAGGGATTCAGGTCTTGCATTTAGGCTCTGATCCATTATGAATTGATTTTTAATATGGTGAGAGAGAGGTACCTACTTTCATTCTTGTGCATATGTATGTAGCTTTCCCAGTGCCATTTATTGAACAGATTCTCCTTTCTATGGTGTGTGTGTGTGTATATATATATATTTCTTTTTTTTTTTTTTTTTTTTTGAAAGTGTTTAACTATGCAGCTCAGCCTGCTCTTGACCTCACTTTGTGGCCTAGGCTGGCCTCAAACTCATGGTGATCCTCCTGCCTCAGCCTCCTGAGTGCTGGATTACAGGTGTGAGCCACCACGCCCAGCATTTATGGAAAAATCAGTTGGCTGTATGAAAGTGGAAGTCAGGCAGCAGCGGTGGAAGTCAGACATCCTCTGGAGGCAGCAACTGCAATTCTGGGTGCGCAGGCTTCAGAAGGGTCCATCCACAGGCCCAGTGGGGGTCAGGGTTGGTGACAGTTGTGGTTACCGTGTTGTGGAATATTGCTTTGGGAGCTCAGTGCGAGTGAGTTCCTTCTCTAGAACAAAAGTCACATACATTTCAAGCAACTCCCACAACTGAGTTTCATATATGCAAGGACTGTGGAATTCTGTATTTAGGACGGGCAATCAGCAGCAGTGCTGGGGGTGGGGGCATTGGCTGGGTCTTTCCAGCCTACCTTTCCGGGGAAATGTGGAATACTTATCCAAGCAGGGAGCTGGGGTCACAGTTACAGTATGTTTTGTTTCTTTCTCTGTGCTACCATGCTGAATCTCCATGTCTTTATACCTCCCACCATTTTCTTGCTAAATCCCAGCATTCTTCCGCAGTCACTCTCCGTGAAATAATAGTCATTGTTTTGTCGTTCTGGTTCTTCTCTGCTGTGCAGGTGAGCACAGAGCACCTCCATTCAACCAGCTTTCATCTACTCTCACTTAAGGAGATTTTTGCGGTGGAAGATGGGAAAACTTACAACCGCTACATTATACAATGTCTATATTTCTTGTAAGAGATCTGTGGGTAAAAGTATCTATCATCTTTAATCAAAAGGGCAATCGAAGTAGCAGTTTTAAATCCACATTGAATACAATTTGAATGCTAATTGTGATTGTGCTTAGCAAATTTCAAGATCAATAAGACAACAATGAAATCAATATTATTTTTTAAAAATTTCTCAGATAATAAGTAGAATATATTATCCGGAGTTCCTAAAGTATATAAATAATATATACCTGTGATATATAAAACGCATACATTAAATTATGTATATTTCTCCCACATACTTAGTAGGATTTTTATCCTAAGGAACGATGCTATAATAGAAGAAAAATTTTTAAAAAGCAAATGTAACTCCAGTTAAATTGTGTAGTTGTACAGGAATAAATGAAGAAGATACCAGCTCAAATATTTTGAGTTCACACTATGTTTTATAAAATTGCTTAATAAATTCAACCACCATTATTCTATTTAGACAATTCAGTCAGATGATAAAAACAACTCATGTGATTTTCCCCCACTTCCAGCTAAACATAAAAGAAAATGTTAACACTGAAAAGTAAAACTAGCTAAAAACCTGTTTTCAAGAACTTATAAGCACTTTTTATAACGATGATTAGTACTCAAATGAGAAAAGGGAAATAAAACCCATACAGTACTTTTAATCTTGGATAGTTCTTGAATGGAAAAAAATGTTAAATATCCAAAAATAAATACAGATTTAGGACAATCGTGTTAATATACTTTGCTCCCCACCTTCCTCTGCTCCTAGTGGAGTTCACTCTGCTTCTTGGGAACAACTGACCCTGTTCATTTTAAATTTTAAGAAATGAGTAAATGAATCATAAAGGAGGCAGTCCTATTAGAAAATAAGGCACATATTAATTAGAAACGTGGTATGTACAAGAAAAAAATGACCCTCCCCAAAAAATAAAGAAAAGAGAAAAAGCTCTACCTAGAAAGTTCAGAAAGAGACCAAAATACATATGCAGGTGCCATGAGGTGACAATTTTTAAGATAAGGAGTACTTTTTTGATAACTAGTTCCATATAAAAATCAACAACATTGAATAAAATCTTCATTCTAAGCATAAAGATAAATTACAAATGGATCAAATATTTAACTCGAGAGAAGGAGCCAAGTATTAGAAGAAAACTAGACACATTTGAAGATTCTTAATAAGCTATAAGGACAGCTTTCTTTTCCATACTGAAATTGTTGCAAAAGTCAATGGGACAGCCAGAAAAAATAAATGGAACCTATTTGTGATACACAAAATGAACTTGACAAATTTGAAGATTATTTTCAAAGTTAAATTCTAGTGATTTTTTAAAAAATTTACAGCATTATAATGCCTCTTACTTTTTAAAGCTATAATAACCCAAGAATTTTATAGCACATTCAGTTTTCGACTACTGTCCTAGTTATAGGCTTGGTTACAGCCACAAATATGTTACTAGATTTTTAATTAAATTGACTGATTTATGATGGAATTATCTTTTCATGCCTTCAGTTTAAATGCTAAAAAATCATGACAGTGTAGGCGATGAACAATTCTTTTACCTGTTTTTACTCCTTAAACAATCTAAAAGTCTAGGTTTATTTAGAGGGATAACATAATCTATTTTTAATGATAACATAATCTTTGTGGGGATAAATAATAATTATTAAACTTTATTTCCTTAGGGATGCATGGATGGCTTATTTGACTCAGGCCTTGCTGTTTTATCTAAACTCATTTTAAAAATAAATTAATCTCTTCATTTTAATTAACAAAAGATTGAAATTTCCATAACCTACAGAGTTAATAGGATTTGCAGGTATAACCCGTGAAATATACATTCATCTAGCTTACTGTTTTATTAGCTGGAAGAAAGTTTATAGATTTAAAATAGCAATAGAATGTCTCTTTTACATACCACGAATTGTTGAGATCCACAATAAAAATAAGACAATAAACGAGTAGATCCAGGGTTCAAACATATGTTACAAGTTCTTACCAACTCTTCTGTATACATGAACTGTGATATATTCAATACTGATTTTAGGAAAGACATTCATTTTAATTAACTCTATTTAACACACCAATGATCCATTACAAACAGAGCCCAGGAAACAAAGTCAAAGTGGATAAACATTATTTAGATGTGTCTTAGTGAAAAATACAATCATTCAACTGTACTTTGGGCGAGTTGTTACCCACATTATCACAGTTTCTTCATCTCAAAATAAGAACCACTGTCACTCTTAATTTTTTGATGTTTTCTGAGAATTTAACAAGATTGGTTGAGGCTGGGGATTTAGCTCAGTGGCAAAGCGCCTGCCTGGCAAGCGCAAGGTCATGAGTTCGATTCCTGGTACCAGAAGAAAAGGCAAAGGAAAAAAAAAAAAAAACAAATAACAAGATTGCTTAAGTAATGCTTAGCACAGACCCTGAACTGTTGTTGATATACAGTAAATATTAACTAGTGGTAATTCTAATAATAAGTTGATATTAGCTGTGATACTAGGCCTAAGAACTATTGTATTTCCTCAATGAATGAAATTAAAAACTGGAAAATTTCTAAGAATTTAGTGTCAGGATATTTCACAGTGGAGTCATTTTTCAATTTTCATTCTTAACGTTCTTAATAGTTTAGTATTTATATTTGAGTCAAAATGAATTTGCTTTTCCTCAGCCTTACAAAAAAATTTTTTTTAAAAGACATACAGATTGATCCTTTATGTTTTAAAGTAACGTCATTTTTCAAAATATAGACACTTGTCACATGGACACCATCACTGTTAAAGATGACCTGAAACTCACCACTCTTCCCATCTTTACAAACTTGTGCAAAGGTAGCCTTTTCCCCCCTTTGCTATCACAATATGGTCTTATACTCTGCTTCTGGATCCCATAGGTGATGTTTAAGCGTACAGCTTCCTGGGCCCCCGCTCAGACCAAATCAATTAGAATCTCTAGAGTTGGGGCTCAGAAGGTACCATGTTTAACACATTTCTTAGATGGTTCTAAGCTGTACTAAAGTTTGAAAAATTCTAATCTACCAAAACACAAGACAATCCTTTTAAGTTTTTCTGTGTTTTGATCTTCATAACTAGGACCAGATGCCACTTTTTCTTTTACAAATGAGTTGTGTTTTTCCTCATAGATTACTTAAATAAATGGACAGATTTTTTTTTATGGCAGCAATTTTAGGGCTCCAAACAAAGGTCTGGGCATGTTATAGTATAGAGAAAAGAAAAAACAAGCAAGAACTTAAGGGACCAAAAGTCAACCGTGTGAAAAAGGAAAGGGGATTGAAGGAGGGATGCAAAGGAAAAGTTAGCTTGGGGAAAGGGGAATAAAAATGATGAAGGTGGCATAATATATGTGCCAGTTCCCCAAGGTGATTGCAGTTATTATGTAGCACAAACATATTAATAAGTATTACTGTTCTCTTCTGTAAAATATGGTAAGGCTTTCTTGAAAACACTGATGGGCTTTATGGTTCTTTTGTCATTCTGGAAATGCACAGCCATCCCCCGGAATATTTCCTCAGTCTAGCCTCATCAGAGAAACTTCACCCCTCAGCATAAAATGTATTTTTTACTAAGATCAATGACATTTGAGGGAAAATAGTGAAACACACATATTTTAACATAATGTAGTTTTTCATTCAGAAGCAAGTTTTAAAAATTGGTACCAAAAGAACTGATTACTTTTTGTTGTTGAAACAAGTATTTACCTCATTCAAATTATTCATGTCTGTGTTGCAGGAACTGTGGTACCTCCTGAAGGAAATATAGATATCCTGGTGTTGTTTAAACCCCAGAAGATGACATTATGCAAAACACTGCTCATTATTCAAATGATGAGAGCAAATGGAGAAAATTGGCCTATCGACAATATTGATGAATTAGATACAGAGCTTAAAAGGTAATGTTTACATAAAGATACTAAAGAAAAGTGGTTTCTTTTTGGACTAGCACTTTCAGACTATAATCAGCTTCTTTTACGTGTAACATATATACAATATAAAACTCATGATTTTATGCTCTCTTAACTTCTGGAATTCATGTGTTTAGAGGCAGAAAGTATACTTGTTATATAGAGATTTTATATATATGTATATATATGTATATATAATAATTAATTTGAGATTTAGAGGAATGAACAAGATTAATCTTACCTGTCATTATCACTTAATCAGTCAAAGATATGTAAAGCACCTCTTTTTTGGGGGAAGGCAGTGTGTGCCTCTATAGTTCAGGCTCGCCTGGAATTCATTATGTCACTATGTAGCACTGGCTGGCCTCAAACTTACTGTGATCCTCCTGCCTCAGCCTCCCAAGTATTGGCATTATGGGTATGCGCCACCCCCCCCAGAGGGTGTGCCTTTAGACAGATAAAATAATGACCTAAATACAACCTGAAGAAGCTTGTTTGGGAAACATACAGGGCTTGTAATGTCAGAATTCACTAAGTGACGATACTGGCATAGTGCCAGGAGGATGTAACATTCTGATGAAATATTTCCATGACCAGGTGATACCATGTTATTTCCAGAATGCAGGTAGGTTTCACTCTCCTTGCTTAGCTGAAATTGAAAGGAATTCTAATAATGGTGCAAAATGTTCATGTTTACTCTTATTAAATTTCATTTAACTAGATAGTAGTCTAGAAATCTTAATTAAAATAAATGCTCATTTTATGTTACATTTGCAGATTTATTCCCCATATTTAAATTTTTTCTATGTAGTATCCATTCTGCTAGGTATTCCATCCCTCTCACCACATCTAGCTACATAATTTGTGGGTCCCAGTAGAACATGGCAATGAAGAAGCCCTTGCTAAATAATTAATAATTTCAAGACAGTTCTGGTAGCACATTAAACTAGCATGTAGCCTTTGTATGTATGAGGCCTTACACAGTTGCATAAGTCATGTGCACAATGGGTGCCTGTTGAAGTGCCTTACATTTCATTTTAACAAGAACATTCCATCCTCAACGATGAACATTAACATTTTCTAGCTAGTATTGCTGTCCGCCTGATGGTATATGATAAGCTCAGAATAATTAGATATATACCTTCTTTTCCTTAAACTGATTTACTCCTAAAGCAAATTCCTTATCACTTTATGAAGTCCCACTGTACTTCATGAGATATTTTGTTTTGTGCTTTGACTTTCCAACTTAAAATATAATCCATAAGAAATATAGTATCTCTCATTAGTGACAATTTAGTAACATCAATAAATCCCACTGCATCCTCTAAAGTTAGAGAACTGAAGTTCCTTAATTTTACCTTACATTTCATGGTGTTTTTTTGGGGGGGGGAAACATTTCCAGAGTTTACTCAGAACTTTTATGCAATCAACATTTACACGAAATGTTTTTTGCTTTTGCCAGTTTCTCTTTGCTGGAGCTTAAATTCACAGACTTTACTAAAATACCATAAGTCAGTAAAAAATAAGTTCTTCAAGCTAATATTGAAAGTTTTTCTGTTTTGTGTTCACTATTAATTTTTTTAATTAGGATGATGAAAGTAGACAAACCTGAAATCGAAGGAATACACTGGATATACCCTATCGTTGGACTCCCACAAGCACCGCTCCCTAAAAATCCTCCACGTAAGTATATTTTAGAGAAAACAAAATTAGGATTTTATGGAACCTTTGTCATTCTGTAATTCTAACCATTCTTTGTACTGATAAGGAACTTGAGGTCCAAGGAAAGTAAGGCGTGAAGAGACTAGCCCTATTAGTAAGAGTACTGGAACCTGATGCTCTCTCCCAGTGAGTCTAATGACTTGCACAAAACTACATTTACTCTTGTCATCCTGTGGCGAAACATGTTACCAGCTCGAATTGAAATGAAATTGCTTCCTACCCCTCTATTCCACAGAGCCAAGCACTAGACGTTTCAGATTGCCAAATACTTTTATTCCCAGGTCACTTTTAATCATTGTATCTCGGTTTCTGTGAAACTCTCAGTCTCATCTAAGAACTGTTCTGTGAAGATACTGACTCATTTTTGTATAAACCTTTATGACATTCTCCAAAACCAGTCAGAATATGATGAAGTGTTCAGAGAGGTTTACTTTCCCAAAATACACAAAACTTATCCTGGCCTTGAATGCCTTTGTTTTCCTCACTGATCCGTTTTTTCTCCACACACCACAGGCTTTGCTCATGTTCCTACGAATTTTCTTTCTTCCATACTCTTCTCACATCTTTAAATTCCCTGACTTTCTGATTTTCTTTTAAAGATCAGCATAGGAAATGAAATTCCACTTGGATAATTATATAGAGATATTTAACATACCAAATATCCAGTCATAGTTCTTCATTATTAAATGGACTGCTTTGTTCTGCAAATCAAAGGGCTGTTTTGGATCTCTACTTTGAGAAACACGGATGAGTTTTTTAAAATTTTGAATTGTTGCCTTTTCCGTCTCCCTGTTATACTAATCACAGCAGATGAAAAGGATTAGAGCTCCAGGCCGGGGAGGCAGCTGAATGTTAGAATGCTCCCATGCTTGAAGGCCTGGATTTGATGCCTAACAACTATATACATAACGTCTTTAGATGTCCATTGACATAAATTATGTCACTGTACTTAGAAAAAGGAGAAAGCAGTAAGTTTTGCTTGTAAATAAAACATTTCCCAAGATACACTGGCTATAGAAAAAGGCCAAGATGATGTATTTCTTTATGGGATTTAATTTTAATTGGAGTAAAAATCCACAAACATAGAAGTACCTTTGAGGATAAATGTCATTTGTTTTACCTGAAGTATTTTTACTGTTGAGTTTAAACATTACCAACAGGTACATAAATATTTCAAGTATACTAAATTATCCCCAGAATGCTTTCCAGACATATCAAAAGGTCTTCTATTTCAGCCTGGAAAATAGTTGATTATGTATTTTTGATAGAAATGAACTGTTTAAAATTTATAATACACAGTCAGTTGATCAAAGTGATGCAATAAAACTTAGACATTGCTATTGGAATTCTAATAGTAGTGTTGTTTATACCAATTACAGACAGTATACTTTTTCCCAGATTAATGACTTAAAGCAGAATGTTTCAGGCTATACTAATACTTTTTTTTTATTTTAAAAATAAAAGGAGGAAAACAACACAGACAGCATCTTACAAAATAGCAAAAGAACAGTACAGACATACAGAGTTACAAACAAAGTGGTAGGAAATTAACAATGCTTGCTGTATTAGATATTGATATCTTCAAAGTCGTTTCTCATGAAAACAGAGACATGCAATATTGATCAATCAAGGACTCATCGACAGTTTCTTTCAGCAAAGAAATAGAAGACAGTAGAACGACTATGTTAACGATCCTGTATATACATACCTACAAAATTTCTCCTTCTTTAGGGCTATACTAATACTGTGAGAATATAAAAACAAATTTCTTACATAGTTTTCTTCAAAGAAAGTTAAACATGCTCCAGACCATTTCATGTCAGTCACTGTTCTGGATAATTACTTGATATTTAAATTAGATGTGAATTCTTTAAATAATTATATTTCATTAGTACAATCTAGTAGTAATATCAGTTCTGAAACAGTTTGCATTTTTTATTAAACCATTTTGTCAAACATGTAAAATCTGTTGGTAATTATTTTACAAACGCCTTTTACAGACAAATGAGTAAACTTTATATATATATTCATTTTTTTCTGTATAGTCCATTTTCCTTTCTATGTATAGTGACTCATTAGAGAAAACCTACTATTTTTCTGTTCAAATTTATCACTGTGAGCTCTTGTTTATTTTATTTATATGTATCGCTCAAATTATTTTGTTGTTGCGGCAGCGGTGGTGGGAGTCACCTTTTCTCTTTGTGAATTTTTATTGGCTACTGTCCATTGTGGCAGAAAACTGGTAAACACTCCACTCCATGTCACACTGTAAAGACAGTGAAAAGTAAATCTGCTGTGATTTAGTGAGTGTTGCATTGACAGGGCATAAATTTCCTAGGGCCTTTTATTTAGAACAAAACCAGTGACAACGTACCAATTGTAACCATAATCGTACTAATTTCTAATTTAATGCTTAAAGACAGAAGCTAATTATTACCAGTAAAGCTTGTACATTTTCCACAGCTATTTCAACTCATATCTAACTTTGTGCTCTTATTATACATTCCTCATACTTATTCTTGGTCTGGAATATTCAATATGAATCTATACCATTTTAAAATGAAATATTTATATATACTTTTATTCCGTTATGTCTATTATAAAACATGTATTTAAGGACATCAACTAATTATGTGGTTTATGTTATATTATTATTATTGATAATGCCAAAAATAGTAAAATGCATTTTGAAACTTTTTATATGGATTCCCTTTATTCGTTATACTCAATTTATACTCTGTTCATCTGACTTGATTAAAGTATAACATAATATATTTGGGAGAGAGAATATTCTGGTTTTTGAGGACTCCAGCACACATGCCCATATAGTATTATAAAACTATTGCCCAAAACACATTAATACATCTCCATTTAATAGTAATTGTACATATAAAAATAATATTTTGATTTCTAATAAGATTACTTAGAACTTCTGCACTTAATGTGTGAAAATACTAGAATTTAATATGTTTGTACACATATAAGTATTTAGTGTTATACATTAATATGTAATCACATTTTAACTTTGAAATCATCTCAGTTTTATTTTTGACTGCTGAAAAGGTACAGTGGTGCATTTTGTACATTTATAAGTAATTTAAAATGAAAATGCAAATATTTTCCTTAAATAATTTAAATATAAATTTTAAGATGCATGTAATGGATAGAAATATTTTAGATATTAAGTATTATTGAACTTATTTTTAAGTTATTTGAAGACATTTGCTATAATGTTATTGCAAAAGTAAACCTTGTTACTACCATACTGAACCTATGGACTTCAGAAATGCATAAATTCACATGTCCGCAATTGCAACTTGAATTACTGGTATGACTATATCAGTTCCTCAAGCCAATTTCTACATCCTAAAATGATCTATTATGAACTGTTATATGTCGTACAGCATTATCTTTCATCATACCATAGTTACATAGTCTTTAATATTCATATTTGTTGCCAAGATATAAATGTACGTAGGTATTGCATGAATGTGTGTGTGTCTGAGTGTATGCACTTGTGTTAAAGTCATATGCAGTGATAATTCAGAGTTTATTAAAGAAAGTTTTATATTTTATGACAGTTTAATATCTTTATTTCAAGACTGGTCATATAACCTAAGAATTAAATTAACTGAAAATATTTCTCTCTTGTAGCTGTTTTAAAATGTATGGCTAAGAAGACAGTAGAAATGACAATGGAAACCACACTGATTGGTAATTTTTTTGGACAAAATCCTGCATCAGAATCACAACAATTTTTAGTGATTCCAAAAAGAAATTCATATAATAATGCTTGTGTTGATTACACTGGTAAGAGAAATACAATCATGGATACAAAAATAATGATAATAAGTAATACTGAGTTACCTTGAATTGTAGGTTGGTGTGCCCTCAATTATAGAGATCCATGGCCATTTACTTTGCATTTCTAGTGTAACATTCAAGTTAGTACATAAGTAATGCTCTTTATATATGTTTTCTCATGGTTGTTATTTCAAAGATGGCAATACATTTTTCCTGGATTGATGAGATATGGGTTGTGATTCTGTGAGCAAGAAGAAAAAGAGCTGTAGTAACTATAATTTGTAATCTTCTCAACTTTAATTTCTTCTTTTCCTCTCTTTGTTTTATTAAAGAGATCTGATTGAAGCCATGGCTTACAGCTTTAAATGTAGAAACAAAGTCTTATATGTTTCTCATTTGTAGGACTAGAAAATTTGATATAAATTAGATATAATACCCAAGTAAGTTTTGCCCAATAGGGAATTTGATTGGCTGTATATACTTTGTATTCCAAATTTTTATTTAAAATTTGCCCATCTCATTTAAAAAAAAATTAAATAGTTTAAAGTATATTACAAGTAGAATATCCTTGATCTGAAAATCCAAAATCTCAAAAGGCTCCAAAATCTGAATTTTTGAAGCATCACTATCATACCATAAGTGGGATATTCTATGCCTAATTTCATGTGGCAGGTCACAGTCCAAACACGAGTGGACTAAAAATACTGTATACAATTATTTTTAGACTCTGTGTGTTAGGTGTATATGAAACATAAATGAATTTTAGGTTGAAAGTTAGGTCCCATCCCTTTGATCTCTCTTTATGTGTATATTCTTTCCAAAATCTGCAATTCTAAACCCTTCTAGTCTCAGGCATTCTTGAGAAGTAATATTCAACTTGTCTTTAATCCTTTAAATATGTGGCATATCACTTGAAATAAATAATACAGAACTAAGTGATATCAGTAGCATGGTAAGTTAGGGAGACTCAGATCCTTCTCTCCATAAACACCAATTCAGCAACAATTCATGGACAAATTCCCTTTCTGAGACAACAGAATTAATTTCAACTTCTTATACCTCAGGAGAATGTGAAACCAGATTCACCGAAGCTTACAGAGAGATTTGAGATCCTTACTTGCCAGAAGTCCTTTCCATGGCCCAGGATTTCAGGACATTGGTCTTGGAAATGATTTTATAGATAGTATACCAAATGCACAGACAATAAAAAGTACAACAAGTAGGGCTATATTAAACTGAAAAGGTTCCTCACAATAAAAGAAGATATCAACAGGATGAAGCCTGTAAAACAGGTGAAATATTTGTAAACTGTGTGTCTGACAAGGGATTAAGCTTCCAAATACATAAGGAAGTCCTACGAGTCAGTAATTAAAAAGCCTAAAAACCTCATTTAAAAATAGACAAAGGACTTAAACATTTTCCAAAGAAAACATACAAATAGCCTATCTCTCTATAAAAATTTACTCAACATCACTAATCACCAGAGAAATACAGGTCAGAACCACAATGGCATACCCCCTCAGAGTTATTAACATGCCTATTATTTTGAAAAGACCCAAAAAACAGAAAACAAGTATTGGTAAGGCTGTGGGGAAATTTTGAAATTTTCACTGTTGGTAGGAGTACAAAATGATGCTGCTTCCTAAAGTGATTAAAAACTGAACTACAGTATGACCCAGCAATTCCACTTCTGCATGCTTATCCAAGCCAATTGAAGTCAAAATTTCAGAGAGAGCTCTATCTATTCCCATGTTCTGTCAACATTATTCACAGTGGCTAAAATAAGCACCCAACCTAAGTGTGTAATGAGAGATGAATGGATAAAGACAATGTGATAGAAACATATAATGGAATAGTATTTAGCCTCTAAAAGTAAGAAAATTACATTATATACAACAACATGGATAAACCTGAAGGACATTATGCTTAGTGAAATAATCTAGATATACTTGAGCAGTAGCAGCAAGTCTCTGTCTATCCTATCCAGGCTACAAGCCTATTGGTTGGTGCCACCCACACCCAGGGAGGTATTAAATTTAATACCTCCACATTTAACAAGCTTATCTATTTTTGTCTACATTTTAATATGTAAATCTTCTTTCTTGTTCTCCTGAACAAATCATGCTCTGCTGAACAGATATGGAATCCATGAATACCCTCTCATGTTTAATATTTTCTCTTTATGGTATCTAAATATTTGATAAAATTAATTGACCTCAATTCTTTTTTAAAGGCATGTAATAATAACTGTGTTTCTTTCCCTGCCCTCATTCCACTACAATCACCTTGTGTGCACTGTCTGTAAATCTTCTTTCATAGTCCTAATTTCCCATCTATTTATTTTTTAATTTTAATTTTTATTAGTATAAGTATGTAATAATTACACTTTTTGTGGGGAGTTGGTACATACACATAACATCCTAATTCTTTTTAGGTTCCCTCCCCCACATGCTTTCATTTCTTGGCCCCCTTTCCATTGGAAAAGATTTATCTCCTTTTTCCTCTTACTCATCCTTTATTTTGTTTTTCCTTACCTATGTACTTATGAAGGAACTCATCTGACAGGAAAGCCTCAAAACTATTTGTCTTTAGAATATGTGAAATCACATAAGCTCCTTTCCTTCTCATGTGTAATGTTAGTTTTCACAGTACATTAATGTCCCAAACAGCTGTGCTGTCCATGCCATTCTATACTTCCTGCTATCTGTTATACCTCTTCTGTTGGAAATTAAATCTCTGCAGCCTGTGTCTTGCACTTTGATAGGGTTTCAGGAGTGAAAGTTAATCATATCCTTTTCTTCCTTCATTTGATTGTATAATAAACAGAGAAACATGCTGAAGTAAGGCAGGTGGAGATAGAAGTACTAACTTTATTAATTATAAAGATTAATTGGAAAGTGAGTCGGCTATATGGACTTACTGGAGTCTGTTAGTTCCCTCCATAATCATTGAGATATTATTGGCCAATTGGCCAATTGTAGACTCCCTACAGGGACAAAAGAATCTACACATTCTTACACTAGGGAGACAATGTGAAGTTTACATGTGCTGGTTGGATTTATTTCACTTATGAGTATGGTCTCTAGTTGGATCCATTTACATATAAAAGCCTGAAGTTTATCTTTCTTTATAACTAAGGAATATTCCATTGTGTAAAAATACTGCAGCTTTTTTATCCATTCCTCAGTTGATGGCCACTTGGGTTCTTTCCATGATTTAGCTGTTACAAGTTGTGCTGCTATAAACGTGGGTGCACATATATCGCTATGATATGATGTTTTTAATTTTTCTGAAAAAATACCCAGAAGGGGAACAGCTGAGTTGAATGGGACCTCTAACCTTGTTTACTGAGGACTCTTTAGATTGATTTCCACAGGGAAATCAATCAACCCTACTGGGTTGCACCAGTCTGCTGTTCTTCAATCTGTGTTCTCAGACCAACTCACTCTTCAAGGCTCTGTCCAACCTAAGGTCACCCTTCAGAAGACTGTCATGCTTGCCCGATATGACCACATCAATGGTCAGATTTGTCTTCTGAGCTTACGCTCCTTGTCAGCAACACTTACCAACTGACCAAGCTGATGGAGTTTGTGCTCTTAGCTTTTCATGGCTAATCTTACTAATTTCTTATCTCACTAGGTCACCATCCTCTATCTCTGTTTTTTCCCCTTCCTCTAACCAGAATCTAAATATCTGAGTGTCCTTGTGTTTTGCCATGAGGGACACTGCATTCCTATGGATGAGTATGCCTAGCACAGTTTTGAACAGTGATGCTTCAACTGTTTCTTCAACAGTTTTACCATGGTGTTTAATGGTGTTTCTTCAACAGTTTTACCATGGGACACGCCTGCTATTCCAGGTTGTTTAATCTAAAGTCAGATTGGTTGATTTCTTCCATTTAGTGAAGTCTTGAGAAAATTACTTTTCCTCACTGTAAAATCAGTTTCTTTACCTGTATTGTGGAAATAAAATAACCACTTTACAGGATATTTTTGAAGATTCAATGCGTAAATTCATGTGGAATACTTTAAAATTACCTAGTTCTTGATATATTTCCCATAACTTTAAGATATTACACAATTATCATTTAAAACTGTAGTTGGGTTTTATGTGGTAGTCATGTACTGGAAGGCCCATCTTTAGTCACTGACAAGTGCCATTTTGAAGTGAAAATATGCGAGTAATCCTCTCAATTGCATTCAGTATGCTTCCTTTGGGTTACACAAAAGAAGCATCTGTGGAAAAGTACAATGTTATGGGGACCAAACATTGAATAGATGTTAGTCACTAATTCACTCTTCTCAGTCTCAGAAGCCACAAATCTTCCTCAGACCCTGCATGGTCTAAGTCTTACCTACTTTCCTGACTTCGCTTTTCACAAGCTCTTCTCAGCACTAAAACTCTGTCCACATAATTTTTTCCTCAAACAGACTTACTGGTTTCCAGCATAAATAATTCCCAGTCTGCTTCCAATAAGTACAAAGCATTTTCTCCTTCTCTACTTCCACCTTTTACTCATCCTTCAGTTTTGGTGCATTGATCTCATCCGCTAGAATCCTTAGTCACCAGATTTCCAGGAATGCACTTGCAAAATATGTTTGACTTCTCTGTGGTAGAAGCTACCACAAATATGTTTTTATTGGTATATGTTTGCAGTACATGATAATTACATTTGTTGGGGGAATTGGTACATATATAGTTCAGATATGAATCATTTGTTATCCCATTTCCCCAGGTTACTACAGAAATATATATATATATATATATATATATATATATATATATATATATATATGTTCTAATACAAATTATATTTGCTTGAAGAATTTTTATATATATATATGTATAGCTTTTATTTTTTCCCTGCTCCTCCTTCTCCCTCTTCTCTCACTTCTTTCCCCAGCATTCTGTTCCCCAGTGTTTCCTTTCCCATCTCCAAAAGATTTCCCTGTTTTCTACCATCTGTCCCTTATTTTACTCTTCAATTATTTACATTTTGGATTTCTCATATAAGAGAAATCATAATACATTTATCATTTTGTGTATGATTTATGAAACCTAACTTTATGGTCTCAAGATCCATCCACTGTTCTTCAAATGACATGAATATATCTTTTTTAATGATAATACTCTATTGTATATTCATACCACATTTTTTTATCCACTTGTCTGTTGGACATCTAGGTTGTCTCCATAATTTAGATATTTGAATTGCACTGCTATAAACATGAGTATGAATATGTCACTGTCATTTGGTGCCTTTTAAGTTGGGGGAAGATACCCAGGGAAGAAATAACTCAGTCAAGCAGAAGTTCTATTTTTAGTTTTTTGAGGAATTTCCATACTAATTTCCATAGTGGTTGTACTAGTTTACATTCTCATCAACAGTGGAAAGGGATCATTTTCTCCTACTTATTGACTAGTATTTTTTGTGCCCCTGATGACAGCCATTTTACTGTTGCAAATGGAATTTCAGTGTTGCTTTGATTTGTATTTTTCTAATGGCCAGGGATGTAAATATTTTTTCATGTATTTTATGAGCCATTTGTTCTTTTTCCTTGCAGAAGTGTCTATTCACCATATTTGCCCATTTTTTTATTGTTTTTTGTTTGTTTGTTTGTTGGTGTAATCTACTTTTTTACCAAATTCTTTATACATCCTAATTTATTTTTTTATTTTAAAGGGAGAAAAGAAACTATACAGAATTTCAAAACAAGATGATAGGAAATTAACAGTGGTTATTATATTGCATTTTTTTATCTTCAGAGTGGTTGCTCAGATTACCAGATACAGGCATGCAAAATTGATCAAACAATATAAGCACTGTCTCTTTCAATGAACTAATAGAAATTAGTAGTACAATTATCATAGCTCTCTTGTGTATATATACAGATCTTTTCTTTTTTTTTTTCTTCCTTCTTTTCTCTTTTACCCCATCCAAGTTGTTCTTTCCTTTTGAGCAGTGTCTTTCCCTTTCACTGTATCTGTCGTACCTTTTGGATCTTATTTACTCTTTCACTATCTTAGACTAGGGAGTTACTACAATCTTTACACATGTGAGTCTGGTTTATTTCACTTATGATATGGTCTCTAGTTGCATCCATTTACTTATAAACCCTGAAGTTTATCTTTCTTTATAGATGAGTAATGTTCCGTTGTATAGAAATACCACATATTTTTTAATCCATTCCTTCACTGACTGGCATTTGAGTCATTTTCAAGGTTTAGCTATTACAAATTGTACTTCTATGAACATGGGTGAGCATATATCACTGCTGTGTGCTGTTTTCATTTCTTCTGGGAAAATACTCAGAAGGGTAACAGCTGGGTCAAATGGGACCTCTAATCCTAGTTTTTTGAGGAATCTCCACACTGACTTCCACAGTGGTTGTACCAATCTACACTCCCACCAACAATGGGGAAGGGTTCCTTTTTCTACACAACCCTGCCAGCATGTGTTCTCAGTTGATTTCTTGATGATAGCCATTCTTTCTGGGGGGAGATGCAAGCTCAGTGTTGTTTTAGTTTGCGTTTCTCGAATTACCAATGATGTTGAACTTTTTTCATATATTTATTTTCCATTTGTATTTCTTCATCTGATAAGTGTCTGATTCTTAGCCTTCTATTGGAGGAGTACTTGACAAAAATTATTTCCAGTTCTGTGAGTTGTTTCGTCACTCTTTCAATTGATTCTTTTGCTTTGTGTAAGTTTTTAATTTAATATAATCCCATTTGTTGATTGGTGGTAGTGTTTCTTATACATTTGGAATCTTGTTCAGAAAATCCAAGCCTGTGCCTATTTCTTCAAGTATTTTCCTATTTAATCTTCCAGAAGATTTCAATGTTTCTGCTTTTATATACAGGTCTTTGATCCATTTTGATTTTATGTTAGTACAAAGTGAGCAATGTGAATCTAGAATTGTTATTCTGCACATGTATAACCAGTTTTTCTAACAGAATTTGTTAAAGATACTACCTTTTGAGTTATTTGTTCTTAACCCATGCGGTATTGACAATGATGATCAGGTCTCTTCTTTTGCTTATAAGCTCCACGCTGACAAGAATTGTACCTTTCATTTCAATGGTTCCTACTGGCCTCACCTTTTGCCCCCTGTGTAACAAGCATGAATATATTCTACATCAGTGGACCATCTCATGCACAGAATTATGATAGCCATAGTGACAGATTTGTCCAAGGGCCTCAACGTTCAGAGGAACAAAAATTATCTTCTCATTTTCTAGCTTTATTGTGACAGTGCCATTTCTATAAAGGCTTCAACAATTAAGCAGAAACAGATGCACATGTCACCCACATATAGGATATTTTTTAAAAAAATATCTTTAGCAGGGAGCACCTTTAGCTCAATGATAAATTCTTGCCTAGCATGTACGTGGCCCTGTCTTCAATTATCAGAACAGATCTTTAGTAGTATACTTCAATGAAGTGTAAATCTCACAACCTCATAAAGGACTCTAATATTCTTAAGTACTGTTTTCCCTCTATTTCCGTGGTCCATTCTCAAAACAAACATATATTTTGTAGAGACACAAATTTTCCCAAATCATAGAATGATTATTGATAGGAATAGAAATTTTTAAAACTTTTGTCTGCAGGATGAAAATCAGCAATTTAGGAAGTCAGAGATTTAATTTCATGTGTGGACACAGAAAGATATCTTACGGCCATGTGGATTGGTCTATTACATTTTGTGTTAATAATGTTTTGAGAATAATAGTTTAATGTGACTTGAGCTTGTTGTATCCAACCAGATTATCAGAGTTCAGGAGCAGAAATTAATATTCAGTACTTCTAAAAAGTTGTCTGGTATATCTTAAGATTGCTTTCAAGTAGTTATCAGTTCCAGATTCAAATTATATAACATAAGGATCACTTTTAATTTTATGCACCAAAGCTAGAGTTTAGAAATTAGTTAAACTGTGGACTAGGTCAGCTCGTGGCAATCTGATCTTTCTTCCATGATCTGCATGCTGGGAACTTCTCTATTTGCATTTTTGTATCTTTATATGTATATAAAGAGTAGATCTAATTTGTATTAGTACTTACTGTCTACATAGTAGTTATGGATTTAAGATATTTTTCATGCCCATTGTACAAAACTAATATTAATTTCTTCCGAGAATGTAGTAGTTAAGAAAATATTGCTTACCATATTGTCTATAATATTTCAGCAACCAGACATAAACGATACTCTCTTTTATTAAAATACACCAGAAATTGAAAATCTTGCTCTAATAGTTTGAGATACACTAGAAGTATTGTTTAAACTTAATTAGAATCCAGATTTAAATCTTATTCTATATGTGTTTTGCCAGTAGCACTTTAATACATATATAAAGCACATGTGGTAGTATTTCTGTTTCATAATAAACTCATAAGTTGTTTTAATTTTCTTGTCATAAGCCTGAATTTTAATGACTTATGGTGAGAATTATCTTCTGATTTTTAATATTCATTCATTTATCTTTAAACAACAATGCATATAGTATTACATAGATAGTAATGTTTTACACACTGTTAACACAAAGATAATATATACTGTCTTCCTTTATATATTTATGTATGATTAATATTGACAAATAAATTGAGTTTCAATTTATACATATTTAAGTAAATTGAAATATATTTTAATCTTGATTTTTGTAGTAGTCCCTAAGACACGTGTATTCAAGTATGAAATAGAATTTGAATCTGAAGTTATGAAGTCTAACTTGGAATCCACCTTGGATTTGGATTTGACCACACAAAGTTATAATATCCAAAGTGAAACAATATCATTGGTCTTCAAGCTAATATTTACACCGAAGAAACCATTCAGGTAAACCTGCTTTCTTTGCCTTTTTTCTTAAAAAATATTATTAGTAATTTAAACTAAATAATGCTGTTTTTTGTTCCATTTTTCATTATTTGGTTAAATTTATTTCTTTGATACTATTAAGAGAAATATTTTGGGCTTGATTATTCTAGCTAGTAAGCTATGTAAAGTATTCTGATAAGAGTAAAACAATCCAAATGGTTGTAAATATAAGATATATTTCAAGAACTATGATCTCCCTAGTGTCAATAGGATATCATATTAACAGAAAGGATCAGGCCATTTTATAAAATCTTTATTTTAAAAATCTGACCAGGTGATATACATTAGCAGTGTGACATTTCTTGATGCTACTTCTCAGAACAGAATCCACTCATTGATGAAAACGTCTGCCTTTGTCAGATATTGCAACTGCTTTCATTAGCATTTAATGGGTAACTGGGCATCCCAGTGGATCTGTAAGAACAATGGGCTTTTGCTTGGAACCCAAATGGCAGAATAGTGACAAATAACAAAGTATACTCAGTATGCCACATAGAATCCAGACACCTGGAAAATAACAACTTAGCATAAGGAAAAAAAAAAAGTAGATCTCTGAGATTTGGGAGCAAACTGATGGGAAAATTAGAATCTACAGAGAAACTGAAGAAACAGACTGCAACATAGAGGAAAAAAAAAATGAAGCTGTCTGGAAACTTACCTTAGTTCCCAAGGAGGGCAGCCTATTTCCTCAAACACAAAGTAAGCTCCCCAGGTTAGAGACTACAGGAAGAAGCAACAGATTAGGCCAGCAGTGCTACCCATAGAAAAACCTACAGCTATTGTAAACAGCAAAAGCAGTGTAGAGTATTACTCTGAAAGTGATTTTCTCTATATGCAGGTAACTTTGATAAGGAACCTGGTACAGTGCCTGCAACATCACCAGAGAGTTTTTAATTCAGGTGCCATTTCAGGAAAAGGTTGATTATTTAGGACTGAGCCTCAGAACAATTAAAAGCAACTTCACTTCAGGGTTCCAAGTGCTACACACCCATGGTGATTGGGTGATAGAGCTAAGAGAAACAGTCCTGAAGAGGGTGCAAGCTAGACATAGACCCACTGAGAAATATAACCACAGGCTAGGGAGGAAATGAGGTTTTGCTCTCCAGGGTGAAAAGCCAAACCCAGTGTTTACCTTTCACACATTGCTGGATCTGAAAATGTTGTCATTAAGTACAGAAGTCTGCTTTATTCTTTACCCTATTGCGTACATCCACCACAGAGCACAGGTTCGATTGGTTTTCCCCATTTACTGATGTAATCAAATATAAGCCTGGTCTGGGATGGTTGCCACATCCTTGGATGATCAAGCAGCGGGATGCTACAATAGCAGGATACTTCACAAACCCATAGGCTGTAAGGCTAGGCAGAGCAAACCATGACTACCTGGATTTCAAACTGTGGATACTGGTAAAAATTTGCTTGTTCAAAAATACAGAGAAAGATTTGTAGACTAATTTTTTTTTTTTTTTTTTTTTTTTTTTTTTTTGTTTTTTCTCCGGTACTGGGAACCGAACTCATGACCTTGCGCTTGCCAGGCAGGCGCTTTTGCCGCTGAGCTAAATCCCCAGCCCTTTTTTCTTTATTTTCATTTCCTTCTTTGCTGGAATTTGGGGATTTGAGGGTTTTTCCTTTTCTTTTTTCTCCTTTTTCTTCTTTTCCTTGGGCTTTCTTATCCTTTACTTTTCTAATTCTACCTCATTTCCTTTTACTCCTTAATAGGATACTTTATCTCGTTTTCTCTCCTTCTCATCTTTCAGTGCTTAAATTTTCAAATTTTTTTCTTTCATTCTTCTGTTCTTCACTTCTCCTCTAGTATAACCATTAAACTTTATTCATCTTTAAATAGATAACTCTGCTGTTACTCTTGAATTCGTTTCTATTGTTAGTGGAGGTTTTGTTGTCACATTTATTGCATACTTACTGTATACTAGTATTTGGTTAGCCTTAGTGTTTATCCTATAATTATAGATCTCTTCTCCATACTTGAGGGTGGTAAATTATTGGTTCTTACATGACGTCAGTATCCAGTTTGTCTTTGATATTATTGTCGCTGATTTTGTTGTTATTGCCAGGTTGTGGTAATAGTTGCTATGATTAGATTTTCTCTGCATGCCAATATCCAGATTATTTTTGTGTCATTAGTAATAATGAAGTCCATTCTCAGAGAACTGGGTGTTGGATCAATTACACTGAATCATCCAACTTCAAATTAATGAGGTGGTCAGACCTTGGGGCAGAGGCAACGGCCTATAGTTAGTCATACCAAGATTGCATCAATGAAAAGGAGTCACTAACTAAAGAGATCTTCATAATAGCAACAAATTCTTTCCAGTAAAGCTCCCTAAAACATCAGCACAAAATAAAACAAGACCAAAAAACCCAAAAAACTAAAAACATGAGTGGACAAGACAGCAAAATGCCTCCAAAAACTCCAAACTCCCACAAAGCTGATCCATCAGCCTCTGAGTGCGGTGATTACAGGCATGTGCCACCACGCACTGGTTGAGGAACAGAATTTTTTATTCCTTTTCAAGATAAAAAAACAATAAAAAAGATACAGAATTTCAAAACAAGATGATAGGAAATTAACAATGCTTATTATATTGTATATTGTTACCTTCAACATAGTTGCCCAGACTACCAGATATAGGCATGCTAAATTAATCAGGCAGTGTAAGCACTGTTACTTTCAATGAACTATTAGAAATTAGTAGTACAATCATCTTAGCTATCTTGTGTACATATTTTTTCCCTTCTCTCTTTTCTCCTTTTCCCCATCCAAGTTGAGCAGTTTCTTTCTCTTTCACAATATCTATTGTACCTTTTGGGTCTTATTTACTCTTTCAGTTTCTTAACACTAGGGAGACAATACGATGTTCACACGTGCAAGTCTGGTTTCTTTCAGTTACGAGTATGCTCTCTAGTTGCATCCATTTACTTATGAAAGCCTCCAGTTTATCTATTTTTTATAATTGAGTAGTAGTTTATTGTATAAAAATACCACATCGTTTTTATCCATTCTTTAGTTGATGGACATTTGGGTTGTTTCCCAGATACAGCTATGACAAATTGTGCTACTGTAAACATGGGTGCACATATATCACTGTGGTGTCACTGTGGTATGATGCTTAAAAGCTATTAGGAATAAGCCGTGAATCACTTATAAGTGTAAACCCAACACAGTTTCCAGACTTTGCAACACAAGCCTTATAGGCCAAGACAGCTTGGAGTGAAGTGCTGCAAGCCCTAAAAGAAAAGAACTTTCAAATCACACTTATTTTTTTATTTTAAAGATAAAAGAATGAAAACCTATTAACAAACATACATACATTTACAAAATAACACAAAAGCAATACAAGCAATATAGAATTTCAGACAAGGTGATAGGAAATAAACAATGGTTGTCATATTACATATTGGTATCTTCAAATTGGTTACACAGATAAACAAATGTAGTCAAATCAGACTTATATGTCCTGAAAAATATTTTTCAAGAACGATGTAAAGGAAAAGGCATTTCTGTGAAGAAAGAGCACGTTATGAAAGTCATGATCATGAAACCAACACCACAAACAATTCTCAAGGGCATCCTAGAAAGAGATAGTGAAGTGAACAATATCAAAAACTCTAAAATCATAAATACGCCAGGCAGGATGAGCAGTTTAGCAGAAGGGGAAAAAAAGGAAATCAACAACATGAAAATTATGCAATGACAGGAATAAGTCAATAGCTTTCAGTGATAACTCTCAATGTCAGTAGCGTCAATTCCCTAATCAGAAGACACAGATTGGAAGAATGGATGAAGAAAAAAACTCAACATTATGATGTATATAAGAAATGTGTTTAATCAAAAAAGGAATTCACAAACTAAAAATCAAAAGATAGCAGATTCCATACGATGGGAATTCCCCCAAAATCAGATGTAAGCATCCTATTTTAGTCACGGTGAACTTCAAGGCAAAACTGATCATCAGAGGCAAAGAAGGTCCCTACATACTGATTAAAGGGAAAATGCAACAATTATAAACACATATACCCCAAACAATGGCATACCTAACTTCATAAAATAAACACTATTGGACATAAAATATCAGATAAACACAACACAATTACAATGGGGGACTTCAGTACCCTATCTTCACAAATAGATCAAATAGAAAAAAAATCAAAGAAATATCACAGTTGAAACAAACTATTAAATAAATGGACTTAATAGATATCCACAGAGTGTTCCACCTGACAATAATAAAATACACATTCTTCCCAGCAGCACATGGTACATTCTTCAAAATAGATCCCATGCTAGCCCATAAAGTACGTTTAAGTAAATGCAAATGACTCAGAATTATCCCATACATATTATCAGAAAATTCTGCAATGAAACTAGAAATCAGTGACAAAAGAAACCACAGAAATCATGCAAATGAATGAAAATTAAACAGTACACTCCTTAGTCATCAGTTAATTATGGAAGAAATCAAAGAAGAAAAAAACAGTTCCTAGAATCAAACTCTAATGCCAACAAAATATACCAGGCCTCGAGATGCAATATCAGCATTTCTAAGAGGGAATTCTGTAACTGTGAATACTCAAATCAGAAAAACAGATAAAAGCCAAATAAATAACCTAATCATGTACCTCAGAATCCTAGAAAAGCACAAACAACCCAAATCCAAATCTTCTACAAGGAAGGAAATTATAAAGATCAGAGCAGAAATTAGTGAAATTAATAATAAAAAACACAAAGAATCAATGAATTAAACAGCTGGTTCTTCAAAAGAGTAAACAAAATAGACAAAGCCTTAGCCAATATTACTGGAAAAGGAAAGAAAAGGCACAAATCAAATAACTAAAAGTGAAAAAGTTGAAATCACAATGAATACCCCTGAAACACATATTATTAGTAACTACTTTGAGAACCTGTAGTTCAATAGATTGGAGACTCTAGATAAAAGGGATAC